TCTCCCCTGGACCTTCCCAATCCTGTCTGCACACACACATGCTCTGGGCTTTCCTGTCTTTGGAAAAAGCCCCCAAACCTTCTGGGTCCCCATGTTCCCTCTAGCAGTCTCCCCATCCTCCGCTCCCCTTTCAGAGCTGCATTTGAGAGAGTCAGAGATGTGAGGCTCTCTTTCCTCACTGCCTTTCTCTCCTACTCATTCCAGAGACTCTTGACGCTGAATCTTCTATTCTACTTTACTGAACCTACTATAGTGAGTGACATCCGTAACACTGAGGTTGCTGAATCCACAGGACATCTTTCTGTCCTCATTTTTCTCTCCTCTCTCTCAGCAGCATAGCTTATAAGGCCCTGATAGTGTGAGCCCTGCCTCTTTCTCCAGCCTCATCCTTTGCCCCTGTCCTCTTTGCTCACCAGGCTCCAGCACACTTGTCTTCTCTTAGATCTTTGCACACATCTAGCTCTTTCCCTTCTCAGGGCATATATGCTGCTGGAGTCTTGGCAAGAGAGAGCGTCTCTCCAATCTTTGCATAGATAATTTCTCCTTCTTAGGTCTCAGCTCTAATGTCCTCTTCTTAGAGACGCCCCTCCCAACCGTTTTGTTTAAACTCATCCCCTAATTCTTCTCTATCTTAGCTACTTGTTTTTTCTATTTGACACTTACAATTTATTTTATGTAGTTGTGTATTTATAATCACGTGCTTACTTCTCGTCCCTCCCCTCATCTCCCTTACTGGAATATCAACTCCATAAAGACAAGATCCATGTCTGTGCATCGTTCACCGTGGTATCCTTGTTACTTAGACCTGTGCTAGGTATTATCTATGAATGAGGAAAAAAGGGACCAAGTTATAGCTTCTCTTAATCTTACCATGCTTTCATTCCAATAAATAGGTGTTTGTTTTGAAGTCAATTGTTAATGTTTTGAATTCATTCTCAAGCATTTTTTTTACAACGAGTTTTATTTTTCATACATATGCTCCTGCTATAATTTTCATCCAAAAAATTTTATGTAACATTTAAAAAGCTTGAGATTTCACCATAACAGCTCTGTGTAAGAGAATCTGAGTGCTTGCATTCAGTTTAAGTTAAGGAAAGGTGTGTGTCTTTAGGCACTATGATGATGCTAAAATCCCTTTACTCTTTCAAATCCGCTCCTCCCTCTCTGTGGTCCAAGGTCCTCCTTCCTTCGGGGCTTTAATGTCACATGACTCGGGTCACTCCCCTAAGTCTTCTTAGCTTCCTCTTCCCAGTGTAATTGCAACCAGAAGTGTAGTGTAATTGGAATGCTTTTGATGCAGATAGCTTTGGATAATCTTTTATTAATGTAATTAACTTGGCTTAATTAAGGGTCAAACCTGAGGGGCTTCTCCAGCCATTGCTGTTCTATCCCCTGCATTAAACGCTTTTAGTTTTGCCCGGGGTGATTCCATTCCAGGACAGATGAATCCCAGCAGAACGTCTGACCTGGTTCTGTCCCCAGTACACATGCACAGAGAAACTCAACTTCAGCTCCAAAGTCCTTGTGTTTTTGATTTATTAATCTTTTCCAAGGCTGCATGGCAGGGACCTTGCTTCTATCCTGTTTTCATTTTATTTTCTCTTCTTAACCCTCAGTTTTCTTTTTTTAACACTGAAATCAAACCAGTATCTTCAAAAGCTGTAGATAACTACTTATACGTCTGGGAAGAGGGGCAGACCCTGACCGGGATGCGAGACTTTTCCATTTCTCCTCTCCTTTAGTGGAGAAACTCTTGTAAGAATTTCTTATCATTTAGAAATTTTGGCAGGCATAGAGAGTTACAGGAGAGGAAATAGAGAAAAGATAATCCTCATTGATAGGGAAAGAACTTGGGCTGCTGAGAAAAGGAGGGCAGGTTGGAAGACAGACCAATGAGAGCAAGAGTTTGAGAGCAAGGAATTAACAGGAGGACTGGGAACTCAAGGGGAAGGTGGAAAGTGCTTTGTTGGGGTAAATGATGCATATACAATATGCTCATTTTTATAGTTTTCTTTATCTTGATATTACTTCTACCAGACAAATGCCTATGATGTGTGGATCTTGTCCAAATTCAATGGAGGAAAAAATGTGTGATTCTGATGAAATCAGAGTTGCCATCAACTCTTTTCCTTTTCCAATTCATTTTGTACCCTGGCTACCAAACCAGCTTCCTGAAACATGCCTTTCATCCTCTCACTTGACTATTCAAAAATCCATAATGGTTCCTTATTGCCTATTGTGTAAAGTATCAACATATCATCCCATACTTTAACCACATCCAGCATTCTTTCCCTCTGCTTCCCCACACATACATCCAGCATCTCCCCTTATTCCAGGCTATTTCTAGGCTTTGTGTTTTTAAATTCATTTCCATGGAACACATATATCTTTGATACTAACAATAAGACCAGCGCTACCTTACAGTGGATGATACAAATATGGATAAGGTCTGTTTAATAATTTAGTAGGGGTGGGGAACCCAAAAACCAAATGCACCAGTAACTGTTTTCATACAGTTCTTTGCCTGGAAGGCCTTTCTTTTCTACTTATTATCATTATAATGTAAATTGATAGTGTTTACAGTTTCTAATCCTTTATCATGTATGGTCTATATTAGTGCTCCTCAAACTTTCAGATGGGTAAGAATCACCTGGAGAGCCCGATAAAAGAGAGATTCCTGGGCTCCACTCCCAGGGGTTCTGAGTCAACACAGGTGGGTTGGGACCCTAGAATTTGCATTTCTAACAAGTTCCCAGATGGTGCCGATGCTGAGGGTTCAGGGACTTCACTTTGAGTAGCTCTAGTCTAGCCAACAACCCTAGGAGGTAGATGGTAGCATCTCATTATGTACAGATGGGGAGAATGACGCTCAAAGGAGCCCAGGTGACTAGTCTATGGTTTTATGACTAGTAGATGATAACCCTGGGACTCAGGTCCTCTGAGCTGTGATCAAGTGTCATTACTACTGCATCCTACTGCCTGTGTATAATCTGCACAGCTTTGAACACTTAACTGAATTCTTATTTCAGCCAGGCAAAAAAGTGTGGACTCTAGCTTGTAATCATTTATGATACCTAGTGCCTATATCAGCAGTTCAAAAGGCAATCTACAAACTCTGTGGGTCTCTGAGATCCTTTTTGGATGTCTTAGAGGGCAAAGCTATTTTCATGATAATACTAAAATATTATTTGCCTTTTTTACTAGGTTGACATTTGCAAGCATGGTGCAAAAAATGATAGGTAAAATTGCTGGCACCTTAGCATGAATGGAGGCAGTGGTGCCAAACTGTACTGGTAGTCATTGTATTTTTCATTGCCATATGCTTGCAGTTAGAAAAAAAATGCTTGTTACACTTACAAATATTTTTTATGAAGCAGTAAGATTATTAATTTTATTAATTTTCAACCCTTGAGGTCATGTCTTTTTAACGTTCTGTATGACAAAATGAGAAGTAGGCATAAAGTACTTGGGTTGCTAAACTCTACAAATGGGCAGGGATGGGGGATGGTGGAAATGGATGAAGTTGGTCAAAGGGTACAAACTTCCACTTATCAGTGAATAAGTTCTGGGGATGTAACATACAGCACGGTGACTGTAGTTAACAATACTGTATTGGATGTTTCAATGTTGCTGAGAGAGTAGATCTTAAAAGTCTTCACACACACAGACACAAATTGGTAACTATGTGAGGCGATGGATGGATGCTAACTTTATTTTGGCAATAATTTCACAGTACATACATATATCAAATTATTACATTGTACACCTTAAACTTTTACAATGTTACATTATTTGTCAATTATATTTCGATAAAGCTGGAAAAAATAAAGCACCTTGGTTGCATACTGAAGAATAAGGGTTGTCTCAAAGAAAAGCACTTGTGTGTTTGAGTTACAAGCTAAACTAGCTGCTTTTTTCATGGAACATCATTTTCACTTGAAGAAATAACTGACATGCAAACTAGGGCTACTCTGATTTATTTTATTAAAAGTAAATAAAATGAACCTATCATTTTAAAAAAGAACCTGACGTTGTTACTAATGAAAACATTTGAGTTTTCACAAAAAAACTAGAAATTTGGAAAACTTGTATTCATCACCATAAGCTAGATTGTTTCCCAACACCTAAAGACTTTTATAATGAGACTGGTGGTGATATTAATGAATGTGATTTTTTGGGCATTGAATAATGAAATGAAATGTGAAAGCTCTAAATAGTTTAGTGAACGAGTACTTTTCAAGTGACTAATGCATTATGTTGCAATATCATGAAAGGTTAACAAGAAGGTCCATTCAAAGTGCAGGATGGACCAATGACTTTTAATGTAACAGAATACAAAAAGTTCATGGGTATGGTTTCCAATTTCACATTTTGGTGTAGTATATCAAAGAAGAATAAACACAATTATGTGAAAAGGCTGTTAAAATAATCCTTCCTTTTCTAACAATGCATCTGTGTGAAGCCACATTTTTTTCATACATTTTAAACAAAGGACATATCACAAAAACTGAATAGAGAAGCAGATACAAGAAACAAACTGTCTTCTATTAAGCCAGAAGTTAAAGAGAATTGCAAAAGTGTTCAACAAGGCCACTCTTGGCAATAAAGCATTTTGCTTTGGAAAATACATTTTTAAAAAAATTAAAATATGTTATTTATGACAATGTACAATGGGTTTATTGCTGTTATTGAGTCAATAAACAAATATTTTTAAAAGTCTCAATTTTTTTTAATATAGTAAATATCAGTCACTAAACCTATAGAATTTTCGATAGTATAAAGAGGTCCTTCGACCACAAAGTTTGAGAATTGCAGGCCAATTCTATGAATTTTGGTAACTGATTTCATTCAGTATATTAGTAACATGGAAATAGAAATGTCCTAACTTAAAAAGAATCACTTTGATTTAGCCTTTTTCACTAAAATTGAAAGACATTCTTGGTTGCAATGATGTGTCTAAAATAATTCTATTATGTAAAATACTTTTAATCATTTTTACATTTGTGTTTTTAATCAAATAATACATACACATAAATTAAAAACTAAAATTCTATTTCAAGAGTCCTATCCCAATCTGTACTACTCCCAATTCCCTTTTTCCATGGGCGATTCCATTTAATTCTTTTAGTTGTTTTTTTACCCTCTTTATCAAACACTTCTGATGTGCAACTTTGGAGACAGACAACCTCGCTTGTCTCTAAAGAGTCTGGCTGCTTGTTCTGTCACCTCTGCAATGACCAGCTCTGCGTGGGCTCTCACTAACTTCTAACTTTGACCAGTCATGATCCAATAGGCTCTCACTTCCAGCCCACCTCCCTTGCCTCACATCCGGGGCTTCCCTATTGATGCTGAGGTATCAGCTGGTACCCTCGGTGACTGTGTTTGCTTAACTCAAAAATAGGAAGCGAACCTTTGACCAATACGATATGGAAGCTGGTGGTTAATCTTCTCCCCTTTACCCCCGACATAATGGACCATCTCAAGTCATGGCCATTTATATGGCCTCTCACAGGATGGTCCAGTGAGCATGAGCCATCGGTCATACTTGACATCAAGAGTGGCTGACTTGGTAACAACTGGACAACCCCTTGTTTAATGCTCCCCTTTTACTCACCTCCCACCCCCTTTCCCTCATCTCTCTTTCTCTATTATTGTCCTTAATAAAGAGCGCATATCAGCCTTTGTCTCAGGCTCTGCTTTCTTAGAACCAAGGGTAGAACTCTCCATATTTCTAAATAACTTGTTTAAACTGCTGCATCTTGATTTTTCAATTTAAGACATTATCAATTGGCTTTTTTTTCATGAAAGATGAGGATTTAGTGTTCTTACATTTCCATTTCCCACCACCCAATGCATTTTTCACTCTCATCCCTCTATATGTTCTGCAGCAATTTTGGTTAAATAAATATTTCATGACTATATTATTATAATTGCCTTAATAAAATTCACAGCTGAGTCATATAGTATACTAGAATTTATTCCTTTTCTTTTTAATTAGCTAATTTTTATGTACCTATCACTAATTAAACCCCACACTCTTTGACAGAACATTAAAACTTCTTGCGTTAGAGTCAAACACACCGAGGAATTTATTAGTTCAATTTGCCCGTGTGTACATGTGTGTGTTTAGGCTCATTCTTTCTGGAAACCTTCATCTTCTTGCCCCAGTCAGAACTCGCTCTATAGGTTTGCTGCTCAGCCATCAGACTGGAGAATCCTTTCACCACTGTTATCGGAATTCAGGTCCTCTCACTCTTGTTTTTTCATCCTCCTGCTTTTTGTCTTCCTCTTTCTTGGATTCCTCCCTTGCTTTTGCAGAGCACATTTCCAGTAACTTCCTGGGAAAGGATTTGGGAGGTAAACCTTTGGAGATTCTACAAGTCTGCAAAGTGTATCTACCTTTACACACTGATGGTTTGGCTACATATGGAATCCTAGGTTGACTGTCATTTTCCCTAAGAACTATGTAGACTTTTCTCCGTTATCTTTCTGTATTCCTCTTGAGAAATTTAATGGCATTCTGACTACTGGTCCTTTGTGAGTTAATTGTTTCTCTCTCTCTAGAAGCTTTTAGAATCTGTTCTTGATCTTGGTGATTTGAAATACAGTGATATGCCTTTGTGTGTGGCAGTTATGGCTAGCCGTCCACTGAAATCCTCTCTTCTCTTCCACAGTACAGCGTTGAACCTGGAAGGAGGCTGAGAGATGAGAAACCTCACTTTCCAGTTCTTTTTGAAAGTGCGTGTGGCCACATAACTAGTTCTTATGAATGGAATGTTAGCAGAAGTGATGTGTGCTGTGGGGCGGGGGGCAAGTCTTTTATGAAACAGATTTGCTTCCTCTATGATTTTTCTTTCCCTTTCCATAGACTGGATGCAGATGACAGTGGTGGACTAGGGGATGGCAGGGCCACCAAAGGGAGTCATCATGGGCACTGCACTCATGACGTGGAAGAGCTCCGAAGTAAGTGAGATACAAACTTCTATTGTGTTTGAGCCATTATATGTTTCTAGGTCTTTTTGTTTGTTTGTTTGTTTCTTTGTTTACCATGGTGTATTTTACTTTAGCTAACATAGTATGGGTCTATTTTCATATATTTTGTTGGCACTTTGTGGGTCCTACTTATCATTATGGAAATATGTCCTCTATGGGGAATTTTCTTTTACTATTTCTGTGAGAATGTATTCCACTTCACTTTCTCAGTTCCTTCTTTCTAGATCACCAATTAGGCAGATGTGGGGGTCTGAATCAATACTCTAATTTTCTCTTTTTTTTCTTTTCTGTCGTTCAGACTTTTCTTTTGGGGGGAATAGGTGCAGATTTGCGATGTCCTCAAGTTTGTCTTTGACATGTCTATTAAATCTTTAGTTATATCACAGTTGTTCTCTGAATGTCCTTTTTCCAGCATGTGGTTCTTGACTCATGCTGCAATATCTCTACTTATCTTTCTGTAGGTATTAATTATAAGTGTTTTCAGGTTTTCTTCTGCTTGTTACATTTTCTCTGTTTCCTCTAAATTTCTTCTACCTGCTTGTTTGTTTAGGTCTCTTTTTTTAATATTAGAGGCTTCTGTTTCAACGACTACTAATGTTTGAGTGTCTCTCCATAGAAATGAGGGAGGCATTACAAAGCTGACTAGGGGGCCAGCCCGGTGGCCTAGTGGTTAGGTTTGCATGCTCTGCTTTGCCAGCCTGGGGTTTGTGGGTTCAGATCCCAGGCACAGATCTGTCCACCGCTTGTCAAGCCATGCTGTGGTGACATCTCGCACACAAAATGGAGGAAGACTGGCACAGATGTTAGCTCAGGGACCATCTTCCTCACGCAAAAGAGGAAGATTGGCAACAGACGTTAGCTCAGGGCCAATTTTCCTCACCAAAAAAAAAATTTAAAAAATATCTGATTGGAAAATCTTTGTGCTTGGGTGAGTGCCTTGTGTGGGCTTCACTGTAGTGTGATGAGGTGACAAAGTGGCTTTTTCATTAGGATATCCTATAATGTCATTATCTGCAGGTCTGTTTCCTTGGATTAAGTAGTTCTCCTCGGAAAGGCATCCTCCAGTCAATAGCTTTGGAGAGTATGCCTGGCTGCTGGCCTTCTAGGTGAGGGGTAGGAATAGGGAAAGGAAACTGTCAGGGTAGAGGGGCTTTCACCATTCTCCGTGGACACTCTCACTTAATCTCCTGTTTTCACTCTGTATCTCACGCTCATCCTCAGGGCTGCAATCTTCTTTACAGAGAAACCGCCCCATCTCCTGTGGGCTTCAGGAAAGACTGGTACTAGCCTGGCTTCTTAGCTTGTATGTGGCAGGATTCATGGTTTTAGTCGCCCCTATACAAATGTTTAACCAATCTTCCTGTTCCCCAACTTCGAGGGTACCAGGTGCCTCCAAGTGTCTGAGCCTGAGGCTCTGGGGCAGGAATCACTTGTCTCTTGTTGTCATCTCACATTAAAGGCTCAGATCTCAGCTTTTTCTGTTCTACTAAGTCTGCTAATCATTGTTCACTGGGGTCAGCCTGTGGCCGAGTGGTTAAGTTCGCACGCTCCGCTTCAGCGGCCCAGGGGATTTGCTTGTTTGGATCCTGAGTGTGGACATGGCACCGCTCATCAGGCCATGCTGAGGTCGTGTCCCACACAGCACAACCAGAAGGACCCACAACTAGAATACACAACTATGTACTGGGGAAGAAGAAGAAAGGGAAAAAAAAAGAAGATTGGCAACAGATGTTAGCTCAGGGGCCAATCTTTAAAAAGAAAAAAAGGGGGACCGCCCTGGTGGTGCAGCAGTTAAGTGTGCACGTTCTGCTTTGGCAGCCCAGGGTTTGCAGGTTCAGATCCTGGGTGTGGACCTGGCATGCTTGGCAAGCCATGCTGTGGTAGGCGTCCCGCATATAAAGTAGGGGAAGATGGGCATGGATGTTAGCTCAGGGCCAGTCTTCTTCAGCAGAAAAAGAGGAGGATTGGCAGCAGATGTTAGCTCAGGGCTAATCTTCCTTAAAAAAAAAAAAAATCTGAAAAAAGAAAAAGGATTGTCCATCAATTTTTCAGCTTCTAAAATTTTGTCAAAGTCTTTTATTTGGTGTCATCACATCTCCTGTTCTCTTTGTCCCTGTGGGATTATATATTTCTATTTCTTCTCTGTCACATTAGTGGCATTCCTGCAGAGAAAGAAGATAGAGACACATATGTTCAATCTGCCACGTTTAACGTAAAATATATGTGTTTGGATTTTTAAGGAGTTTGGAAAATATTTTATCTCGTGATCCCAAGAGCATAAGGAAAGAAGAGACCAGACAGGTGGGGGAAAAGGTGTTATTAAAACTTCAACTCATGCTTTATTCCTTGTCATTTTACTGAAAAGTTTCCTGGGATATCCAGTTCAAAGCTCTTCCTGGGCTGGTCATTCAATGAGAAATACAGAACTCTCCTTTCATCTTCTTGGAAAGTAACGTTAGACTTTAAGACATTAAATTCCTCACTTCATCCATAGAATATATTGCTCATATAAGTTGTAAACAAACTGTGGTAATCAGATCCACCACTGAGTGGATTGTTTAAGCTCTCCTGCAGGGTGGGAAACCTCAGACCCTTGGACCTAGGTATTCACCCAGCTGACAATTCAAATTAAAGAAGAAAAATGTTGGCTCCATGGATTAGAACCCAAAACACACTTTGAAGCCTAAATTCTATCTTTATATTGTTTCACACAAACATCTTTTCTGCTAATTCGAATTAAGTTATTTGAGGCAGAAGCTAGGTACATACTTCTTCTGTGTATTTTTGTTCACCCGTCCAGGAGTAGTTTTTTTTTAAACAAGCAGTGTTTTTTTTAAAAAAATTTCTTTCTTTCTTTTTTTTTGGTGAGGAAGATTGGCCCTGAGCTAACATCTCTTGCCAATCTTCCTCTTTTATTTATTTTTTTGGTGAGGAAGATTGGCCCTGAGCTAATATCTCTTGCCAATCTTCCTCTTTTATTTATTTTTTTGGTGAGGAAGATTGGCCCTGAGCTAACATCTCTTGCCAATCTTCCTCTTTTTTTTTCTCCCCCAAATCCCAGTACATAGTTGTATAGCCTAGTTGCAGGTCATTCTAGTTCTTCTACATGGGATGACACCACAGCATGGCTTGATGAGTGGTGCTAGGTCTGCGCCCAGGATCTGAACCAGGGAACCCTGGGCTGCTGAATTGGAGTATGCAAACTTAACCACTTGGCCACAGGGCTGGCCCCCCAGGAGTAGTTTTTAAAGTCTTCTTTTCTATCCTGCCAGTGTCAGCATCTCCTGTCAAAAATGCACATCTACTAAATCCTGATCTCTGTGGAAGGGTCTTGGAATCAGACTCATGACAGCACCCAAGGTGATTCTTATGACTCTAAAATTTGAGGCTCACTGCCTCACATGGTGCTAAGTTGTGCAGACACTTTTAATTAAGTAAATCTTAATCCTGTAACATACACAATTGAAATTTATTTACTTAAAAAGAGAATTACGACAGTTAAGAATGATTAGGCTTTGGTAAGCAGGTCCCGATGAAGTCTAAGCTTCAGGAAAACATCCTTCCAAAATGGAGCCATGACTATTTCCTAAGACGGGAATAATTGCCTCTTGAGGTTTTAGGGTTATCTGTTCTTTAGTTCAAAGAATCACCGTGAACAGGCCCAGTGCTCTGTCTCCTTTTGGACTATTCTCATGCTTTGGTTGGTATTGCTGCTCCGGTTATGTGTTGCTGTGTCATAAATCACCCCAAACTTAGTAGCAGAGACAACGGCCATCATATTATGCTCATCGATTCTATGAGCAGGAATTTGGATAAGGCACAGAGGAGTGGCTCCGCGATGTCTGGGGCCTCAGCTGGAAAGACTCAGAAACGGCTGTGCCTGGAATCGTGAGGGGACTTCTTCACTCACGCGTTTGAGTGGGGAAGCCTGGAAGCCTGGGCTCAGCTGAGACTAACGACCGGGGCACTGGTCTCTCCATGTGGCTGGGCTCCTACAGCCTGGGGCTGGGTTCTGAGGGGGACCGTTTCCCGGGAGGCCACTTCAAGAGAAGCAGGCAGAGGCCGCATGGCCTTTTATGACCCAGCCTCAGAAGTCACAGAGTGTCACTTCCGCCCTAACATAGAGTTCAACGCAGTTACAAGTCCGTCCCAATCAAGCTGGTAGTATGGCACATAGACCCCACCTCTTCATGGGAAGAGCGTCAGAGAATTTTGAGACTATGGGTTAAAAGTACCACAATTACTAAATTAAGAAGGACTCCTCATCATTCAATTCCTAAAATCTTTTCTTAGCCCTTTGTTGGATCTTTACAATTTATAAAGAAGAGTATTTGGCTGCTTTTCTGGTGAAGACAAATATAGCCAAATACTAATCCTCTACATTCTCATTTTCATATGTAATTTTCACAACCACTGTCAAATGTTGATATGATCACTCCCGTTGGACAAATGAAGACGCTGAGACACTGAGAGGTTGAGTGGCTTGGCCAAGGTCACACAGCTGTGGCAGTTCTGATGCTAGAGCACAGGCCCTTGACAACATCATCTTGGCAGCACTTCCAGATTCGTGTGAGACCCTCTCAGAGCGAATCCAAGGAAGGTTGCATAATCTAAATGTCATTGGTGAGAGCCGAAGTAAATTTATAATCCCACTCTATCAAATACCCGAAGCCTCTGAAAAAGTTGCTTTTGGCTAAATGATAGCTGGATCATAAACCTTATCATCTTATGAAAGCACTCAGGGGCTACAAATTTGTAAGGTTTTTATTTCCTATGGAAAAAAGAAAATGCTCTCACTTGCACTCTGCTGCTGAATTTTGACCAGGGAGTAAAAGATGCCTTTCTCCGTGAAAAAGGGCAGAACTCTCCCATTTGTTTTTCCCTGAGGGGTTGACAATTTGGTCTAATTTTTGTGATAAGCTAACTAAGGGTCAGGGAATGTCAGGAGAGAAAAAGGCAGCAAAACCGTGGACAGAAAGAGGAAAGTCTGGTGTCAGCTGGGGACCATAAATAGAACGCCAGCCCAGGAAGGTCAGACCCAGGGGACGCGGAGTTAACAGTCTCAAATCAGCTAAAGCTGGACTCAGAATCTGCGCCAGCTCCCATCAAAATTTGGCTAATGAAGCTGAAGTCCACATTGGAGATAAAAAGCTTTAGCTGGGGAAGCTGCAAAAGTCACCCTTTAGTGAATAAAAACAGTGAGGATATCCCAGCTTGCACGTCCCCTTCTCTAAGGCCTGCATAATAGTTGATGGACGAAGAGGCAAGACTGGAGGTGGGTGTTCACTCCACTAAAGGTTTGCTTACGATTCACAGAAACAAGAACCGCAAAGTCCTAAGAAGGAGTTTGGAAGCAAGAAAGAACAAGGCAAACTCAAACTCATTTTTTAATTTCTTAGATTTCTCTGTTTCTATAGAGAGAAGATGTTGTACTAATTCTCTGCTTGAAGACGTGGGAGCATCTCTTCTTGACATTAGGATTTCCCCAAACCCATGAGTTATATGTTTACTTGCTCTCTATTTGCCATATGTTGCTTAAATTTGTAGACGCAAATCATAGATAATTGTCACTTAAACTTCTTCCCATTCTGAACAGCCTAGATAAATCTTGCGAAGCTCCAGGTCAATCAATAATGTTTATTTAGCACTGTTTTTTGGGCCCACTATTGTACTAAGTTAAACGATAACAGATATGTGGCAAAAGTACTGTATACCCTGTTCTTTGTCGATGGAAGATGTCCTTAATTGGTTACTGCGCACCAAACCTGACCTTGGCCCTTTTTCAACACGTTTCAGGTAGCCATTCACCTTTAATACAAGTTGATACTTAAAGTGAAAACTAAGGTATTATTAACTGCTGGCAGTGAATGGGGAAAAAAATGATCAATTTGGACTCACTGTGGGATAGGTCAGATTGACTTACGGAAATGAAATGTCTGGGGGTTTGCCTAGTGGTGCAGTGGTTAAGTTTGCACGTTCTGCTTCTGCAGCCTGGTGTTCACCAGTTCACATCCTGGGCGCGGACCTATACACCGCTCATCCAGCCATGCTGTGGCCGCATCCCACATAGAAGAACTAGAAGGGCTTACAACTAGGATATACTACTATGTATTGGCGCTTTGGGGGGAGGAAAAAAAAAAAAGGAAGATTGACAAAAGATGTTAGCTCAGGGCCAATCTTCCAAAAAAAAGAAAAAAAAGAAATGAAATGTCTGATAATAAGATATCTCATAACAAATAGAGGTCAACTCTGAACTAGGTATAGCAGATGCTGTTGGTGGTCCACCAAGGGCTGCCTGAGATTTCTTGCACCTGTGGATACGCCCGTCCCCACCCCCAACAACTTCCCTTAAGCACCTGCATCTTCTTTCTCTTCCTGAGGGTTTTCTCCAGTGTTACTAGAGCTGGCTCAGCTGCGCAGGCTAAACCAGAAAATGTGAGGGAGCTAATGGCCTGGGAGGTGATCTTCATTCAGTAGAGATGGGAATGTGGACAATGCCCCAGCCTCCCTATTCTCTGGTTGGGAGGGTCCTGATGTTTGTCTCCACGAAGATTGAGCCCCTCTCACTTTTTATTGACTCTTCTCCCTTCTTCGTCTCACTTTCCTAACTTCCTAACATGTCTTCCTGGTTTACCTTCCAAATAATCTATCTGCCTCTGACTCCTTATCTTGCTGTCTGCTTTTTGAGGAGCTCAAAGTAAGGTTTTAGACTAACAAACTATTATAAGAACCATTTTAAAAAGCAGATAATTTTTATAATCAGAATCACTTTTAATGTCTATATGGGAATCATTGATCTTATTATACAATTTTTAGAGTTGGATGGGCCAGTGGGAGATTATACTATTTTTCACTATTATTCATTTCCTCTTCCTGAAGGAAGATTGTACAACCCTACTCTACTGACCTCAGAAGTGGCTGTGTGTCATGCTTTGGCCAATGAAATGTCGGTGGAAGTGACATGCATCACTTCCTAACAAAGGCTTGATGAGCGAGCCCATGGCTTTTCATATCTTTTTTCCCTCTGCCATAAGGCAGGCAAAGTTCCAGATGAAGCTACACTGTCAGCCTGAGCCCTGGAGTGAAGATGATTGACACGGAGCGGAGCCTCAGCTGAACCACGATAGACGTGTACAATGAACCAGAGGTAGACTTTTCTTGTAGATCACGGAGACTTCGGAGTAATTTGCTGGCACAGCATGACTTAGGCTAAATATAGGATCTTTAAAAATAATTTAGTCCAGTGGCCCCCGATCTTGGTTAATCATAAGCTTTAGTAGGGTGCATTTTACACTTAGAGATTTAAAATTCTTACTCTAATTCAGTAGGTTTGAGGCAGAAAGCAAGAATCTGTATTTTAAAAATCTCCCTGGATGGTTGTAATGATCTCGCTTGTTGAAACCAACCATATTGCTTATTTCAAAGGTGAAAGGAGACTGACAACTTGAAAAGTTGCCCATTCTTTTAACTAATTTATAAAAAAATATCATTGTGATGTAGGTCAGAGTTTGACTTATTTATAAAATCTTTTCTCCTGAAAAGAAAAAAAGCAAGCTTAATTGTACACCTGAATAAGGGCAAATTCTGAATTAGTATTGTCCAAATTAATAAAGTGTAATTGTATGTCATATGTAGGCCATCTGGGTTCAAACCTAATCAAAAATTATAAATGCAGCTTGTTACTAAGGCCATGAGTGGGCCAGAAAGGCAAAGAGTAGAGTTTTAATAACAGAAAATAAATCTGTTACATAGATGAACCCGGAAAAATAGTCTTCGTCTTTGCTAGTGAAAGATTGTAGGTACGCAGGAAGAACTCATCGTGGAGACCAGGAGATCAAGTTGAAGGTGGTTCACGGGCATCTGATGAAATTTTCTAGCCTCGCATCTGACGGCTATATGCCATTCACTTGTCTGAGTCACCCTATATGTTTACACTGTAGAAATTATGTGTTCAATTCAGCTTTACTTTTTACATTGTATCTACTCTGGGGAAGAACCTTTAATAGATGCTGCTGGTGTCATAAGTCCTCTCAACGGGGAGAGGGTGGAGGTAAAATATTGGTCCACATGTAATGTTAATAGTCAAGGGTATTGCTAGGTGACCCACAGGACTCACGCTGCCTGGGCAGCTCTGAAAGGCGAGTGATTTTCCCAGCCTGCACTTCTGCACTACCACTCATCCTGGTCTCTTGCCACCTGGCATTGGACACTACCGTGTTTCTCAACCTCATCTCTCCAAGGCTCGCCAAGGAACCCCACAATTCATCGTGCCTCCAGATTCGACGCTATCGATAAATCTCTTTGCTTGAAACTTCTTTTTCTCTTAGATTTTACAATACTATACTATTCATTACGTATCTGCCGCAGACTCACCCTGTGCTTTAGGGATGTAACAATAAGAGCTTTCATTTATTGAGTACTTGTTACATGCCAGGGACTTGATACATTGATATAATTTTATTTAAAACTTACAGCAATTCATTGAAGTAGCTAATATTATCTCCACTTTCCGTAAGAGGAAATTGATGTTTAGAGAGTTTCGTCTTACCCACAGTCACACAAGTACGTTTCAGAGGTGAAACCCAAACCTGTGTTGAACTCTAAACCTGGGTTCTTCACCACTCACTCCAACAGCGTGTCAGGACCCCTTTACTTTTATTAATAATCCAAGGGGCCGGTCTGGTGGCGTAGGGGTAAGTTTGCACGCTCTGCTTCAGCGGCCTGGGGTTCACCAGTTTGGAACCTGGGCACAGACCTATGTACCACTTATCAAGCCATGCTGTGGCAGGCATCCTACATATAAAATACACAAAGATGGGCACAGATGTTAGCTCAGGGCCAATCTTCCTCAGCAAAAAAGAGGAGGATTGGCGACAGATGGATGTTAGCTCTGGGCTAAGCTTCCTCAAAAAAAGAAAAAAATTATTAACAATCCCAAGGAGTTTTTGTTTATGTTAGCTGTAAATATCTATTGATATTTATCCTAATAAAGATTTAAAAAGAACATTTAATAATATTTATTAATTCATTTAAAAATAATAAACCCATTATACATTGACATACAGAGCATTGTGAGACATAACTCTTGCTAAACAAAAACTGTAGTGAGAAAAGTAGCATTGCTTCACGTTTTCACGGCTCTTTAGTATGTGGTTTAACTGAAGAGAGCTGGATTCTCACATCTGGGTCTGCCTTCAATCTGTTGCTGTGAGATGTTTTGGTTGAAGTATAGGAAGAAAACCCAGCCTCACACAGATACGTAGTTGGAAAAAGGAGGATTGTGATGGTATTTTCAGATAATTGTAGGTTTCCTCCTTTGACAGTGCACAATATGCAACAAGTGTAGTTTTCTTAAAGGTTAGCTGCAATGTGGAATCTGAAACTGTATCGGTGAACTTGTGCTCTTTCATATTAAAATGCATTGGTCTGCTTTGCATTTTGAATGGATCTTTTGCTTGTGTGTGAAGCTGGCCCAAGGCTTCACTTACGCCACTGCCCTTAATAATATTCCAGGGAAACGAAACAAATTATGAAACATGAAACTAAGCATCAATTTACTTGAAAACAGCCAGCAAGTTTCTAAAGCAACTTGATGAGAGCTGATGATAAAACTACAAACCTTTTAGGGAAATTTCTGTTTTTTATGCCTATTGACTCAGACTGTGCACTTGGAGCTGTCTTGATAATTCTACGAGGCTGATAGATCTATTTCCTAGATGCCAATGTATCCACTTGATTTGGCATTAAATGTACCTAGCTATTCATCTTTTGCCCTTAACCACCTAATTAACTTCATTAGCACTGGTAGTTTTCAAATGCTCCAGGTCAAGACTTTGGAGTTCTAATTTATTTTGGCAGCATCTTAAAAATGTTACTTTGCCCTTCTATGGCTTCTTTCCACCAAACCATTCAGCATAGGTGGTATTTCCCTGCTATGGATTCTCTCTCTTTCACAGAATGGCGACTCCTCTATACTCGTTATGTTGCGCAAGGCTATTGAGAATGAACGTCCACAATGGGCCAGATCATTTTGATTTTGTTTTTTTTTATTTGAATGATAGCTATGTCATGACTATGCATAAGTAGATCAGGGCTGAAGCCAACTCTAGTTGATTCCCATGCCAGGCAGGAACATGTGACAAATTTTCATATTAGAGTCTTTTTCTTTCTCCAATTGCCAAAGAAGTGAAGGATATATATAGTTTTCAATAAGATATTTTCTATGGATTAAAATAGAATTATTGCTCATGAAAAGGTGAAAGCATACTACCATTTCTATAATTTGGTTGGTTCTTATATGTCTTATTTTTGCTCCAGAGGCAAGAGTCTGTCATCTTTATATATTCCGGAGGCTTGACAATGACAAAAGGAGACTGGGTTTATAACTAACTTGCAAAAGTGCATAAAACACAAGACATTTTTACATGGAGTGTAGTTTACCTTTAAAAAAACTACAAGTGTTTCGGTGTCCTCTCAAACATGTCTACACACCTGTGAGGCAAGCTCCTTCCTTAACTGTGGGTCAAGCAAATATATCAAAACTGGCTACTTTTCCTTTTTTTAGTAAGGCAAAATTCTGAATACGTTTGTAAGGCCTCTCATACTGGCCTTTGTTGGACTGGTAAGTAATGTTGACAGCTGGAGCTTCCCATTTTCAGGACCCTTTATAAACCTCTCAGGAGCCTTGTTTTTTCTGCAAGTGGCAAACCCAGGTAGAACCGAGTAGAGAGATTTATTTGAACAGAGGATAGCAATCCTAGCTGGCCCAGGGCTTCTTGTACATCCCTGCCCTTTGTAATGTTTCCTTGAGCTCTTTGGCTAATGGGATGGCATGTGAGTCCTTGCCTTTGTGACTTTCCCTCATCTTTCATCTAAGGTTCTCAAGGAGCCTTTTAAGATGAGAAGGGATGCAGCACATGCATGAGTCCTTCGGCCCTTCTATGCACAGCCAACTTCAGCTCCTTTTTAAAGACACGGCCCACATCTCACCTCCTCCGGGAGAACTTCCATCATCATCTTTCCCCTCTTCTGCTCTGGATCTTCCTTCACGGCATCTTCCTAGCACAGTCCTTACACTGTGCAAAACAGTCCTTAATTATCTATCTTTCTACTTCTTGAGATAGAAGTCTCCTTCGTTTCTTTATCTCTCACTCTTGGTGCTGTGTCTGCTACAGTCAGTGATGTGATCCAGTGGTCCTAAACTGGTCCCACAGTACCTGGCGAGGAGTCTGTCAAGAGTCATGGCTTAGCTTTCGTGACTTCAGAGAATTCAGCAAATCAAAAGGAGAGCCTAGGCCTGAGCTGCTGAGGGAAAAAAAGAAAGGAAGAAGTTCAATAGTTTTTCAGGGAACCAGGGGCAAGAGTCACAGAACCTAAGAGAGCACTATCTCCACCAATATTGTGTAGCTAGGTCTGTAAAAAAAAAAAAGTGTTGGTTGCTAGGATAGATGAACCAAATTTCCTACTTTAAGCTAAGAATATCCTAGGGGAGAAATGGAGTTATATTATCTGTACAGTTTTCTCTGATCAAATGTTCTATTTCAACCCCATTATATAAATTCTAATTATCAACTATATTGATGGAGAATGAAAAAAAGTCTTTCAATTGCTATGAGTTTTGGAGGGATTAGGGGTGGGGGAGTAGATTTTTTCAGTAAGACATGAAGGGGAAGAAAAGTAACCCATATACTGAAATCCACAGGCTCATTGGCAGCCGCTGCCTGAGCTCTCGCAGCACCCAACTGAAGAGCACAGTGGCCACATTGATAACACTGTGATGAAATCTGGGCTCTCCTTTTTCTGCTTTTAAAATAAATTATCAGCTTTTTGAGGATTACTAAATAAATATAATTTATTTAATATTGGCTTTTTGGGCACCGGTACAATACTTAGCACATAGAAAGTGCCCAGTAAATATTCTTCTGAGAGATTCACCCTGAGCGGCCATGTGGTGGTCCCTTCTCTCCAGTGAGTAATGGTAACTTTTGCTTCTTATTTTCCCATCTCAGCCCATCGTCTAAGTCCATCTTAAATCACTGGATTTGGATTTGTGGGTTCTTTATTCTTAGAGTCTGAGGAAATCTGTGGATGTAGCTAGATGAAGACAGAAAAATCTTCAAAGAATAATCCTGTCTACACGCTGGCAAT